TTGAGTTAAGCAAATTTATGTTATAATATAAATAAGTATAAGAATACTTGAAGCTCACATAAAATATATATTTTTTCATTATTATTATCAATTTTACAAACTATAATTGTATGCAGATATGGAATACAATATGTTTTGATATAAGTGTACAATGTGAAATGATCCTATTATACTAATTAGCAGATCCATCACCTCTCATGTTTTTGTGCTTAGAAACTTGAACTTATTTTATCTGTTTGTAATATTTGATATATTATTAAGCATAGTCACCCTCATGTACAACATATCTCAAAAACATCTTTATCCTGTCTAACTGAAACTCTGTTTTTTGACCAACAATAGAAGAAAGTATATTGGTTATGTCAGGCTGAGAAAAAAGTGTGCAGAGAAATGATGAAAAGTGGTGGCTGAAGGGTACAAGCTTCCTTTTGGGGTGATAAAAATGTCCCAAAGTTAGATTATGATGAGGTATGCACAACTTTGTAAATATACCCAAAATAATTTATTTTGTATTTTAATTGTAGAATTCATAATTTAAACTTCAACTGTATTGTATATAAATTACATATTAATAACAGTGAATTTATTATTCTTACTATGTATATTTAAAGTGTACACTATAGTATTTTGATGTACTAATAAAGCTGTGTTTTAAAAATGAAGTAAGTGCTTGAATAGAAAAATGATTTAACATATAACCCAATCAATAAACGGGCCAAAGAAATGAATACACTTCTCAGAAGGTGATATACAATCAATAAACAAATATATAAAAGAATGTTCAACATCTCTAGCTATTAGAGAAATGCAAATCAAAACTACTCTCAGATACCATCTCAGTCCAGTCATAATGACAGCCATTAAGAATACAAATAATAGTAAGGAGTTGGCAAGGATGTGGGAAAAAAGGCATACTCATACATTGCTGATGGGACTGCAAAATGGTGCAGCCAATATGGAAAGCAGTATGAAGATTGGAAAAAGTGTGAATGGAACTTGGAAAAGTGCGAATGGAACCACCATTTGACCCAGCTATCCCACTTCTTGGTCTATACACAAAGGACATTGAAACAGCATACTACAAGGACACAGCTATATCAATGTTTATTGCAGCACAATTCACACTAGCTAAACTGTGGAACCACCTTA